ATGTGCCGCTGCTCCTGCCTTCTCTGGGTGGCTTGTTTATTTACAGCTCACCGTGGGAAGTGGGCCTTCCCCTCTCTCCTGTGGAGTTTTCATCCCACTACCACTTTTTCAAGCTTTCCCGCTCCTGGTTGCTGGGTTGGGTGCTGCTGCTCCTGCCTTCCCAGCTTGGCTTGTTTGTGAGCACTCTTCAGTGCTCAGGGTGTCCACCCTCTTTGCTACATGTCTTTTTTGTTACTATTGCTTATTATTCAGTTTTTTTTCTTTTTTCCCTGGGTGGGGGTTGGTCTGTCCAGGGGGCTATGCTGATCTGGCCCAGGGTTGTCTGTGGAAGTACCATGTCCCACTTAGCTCACCTTATGGTCTGTGTCTTCCCAAGCCATCAAGGTGCCCACCATTTGGCAGCATGGGAGCCCTCCTGGTTTTCTCTGTTTAATGTGAAGTGGAGATTCCTGTGTGCAGGCTGGAGGTGTGGAGGAGTCACAGTATTTACCTGTTCTCAGTGGTTTTTTCCTGTAAGGTGTATCTGCAGCATCTTCCAGATTTATTTTTAGGAAGCACGCTTTCTGCTTCCTCCCTCTAGCCACCATCTTGGAAGTCTTCCTGAGTAGGTTTTTTAATCCTGCTGCCTACCTGAAGAAGTTGGAGACTCCAAAAGATTCTTTTTTCTTTTGCAATGACTATGTTCTTAGGTAGAAGCTGACTGTGATTTCATCTATACTTCTTTTCTAAAACTCTGAATACAGTATGAGTGTCTTAGGATTCACTTCAATTAGACAAAGTTGCATCCACTAAATATCTCCCAGTCTGTCCACTGTCTGATTTTGCTTTAGAGTTACAGTGTTTATCAGGAAATATTCTTATTATTCTTTAGAAACTTCTTCATCAAGTTGAAAAGTGCTTACCAAGGTACACCTTTAAGTATTTCTCTATTCTTAGAAAGAAGATTCTTCTACACATCTCATCCACAGACATGACACTACACCAAGTCTTTCATCATTTGCAAGATGCTGGAGGTGAAGAGAAGTTCATTATTATTTGAATCTAGTCAGGCCATGACTCCTTTATATTCACTATAAATTCTGCTTACAACTGGACAATTCACTTTTTATCTCATATCTCTTTGTTTTTAACCATATTAATGTATGAGGCATAAAAGAGTGTTAGTGTTCTCAGTACTCCACTTTGACCTTGGCCAATGCAACCATGCAATTAGATATATTTCTTATTTTGCATATACTACTACAGCTGTCGGTGGTTTTCCAAATGGACTGGATGACCAAGATGGCTTACTAACAAAGCCTGGCAGCTGTTTGTTGGCTATTGGTTAGGATCTCAATTCAAAGCACCACTAAAATATTTACAGTTTCTCTCATATTGCTTGGAATTGCACATAGCATGGTAGCTGGGGTCCAAAGGTGGCCTAGTAAGTTTAAGCATTTTAAGAGATCCAGGTGGAAACTGTAAAGATTTCATGTCCTAACATCAGAAGCTCTATATGTCAATTCTGAATGTTATTTGTCAAGGAATCCCTAAGTCCACCTAGGACTGAAGAAAAGAGGGATTTGGGCCTCTTAACTCGTTAATATGGAATAGAAAGAGGTCATAGTACAGAAAACATGGAAGGTGGAAGATAATGTGGTGATCGTCTTTGGAAAATGCAAAATGACACATCAAGTTATTAAGGTATCACCTACATGAATACTAAAATCACCAGGAATCATGACAAGAGTTCATGCACTGGCACACCCATGTTTATTGCAGCACTATTCACAATAGCCAAGTTATGGAAACAGCCAAGATGCCCCACTACTGACGAATGGATCAAGAAAATGTGGTATTTATACACAATGGAATTTTACGCAGCCATGAAGAAGAATGAAATCTTGTCATTCACAAGTAAATGGATGGAACTGGAGAACATCATCTTAAGCAAAGTTATTCAGGCTCAGAAGGCCAAAAATCATGTTTTCTCTAATATGGAGACTTTAGACTTAAAACAAATGCAGTAATATTATTGGACATGGGTCACATGCTAAGAGGAGAGCACATACAGGGGGAATAGGGAAAGGTAAGAAACCCAAAACTTGAAAGTGTTTGATGTGCCCACTGTAGAGGAGATAATATAGTAATCTTAAAGTGAGAGAAGCCACTATGGGAAGGTGACCGGGAAGTAATGAGGAGGTTTGGTAAAGATGAATCAGTCTGGGTTGTAATGCACATGTGCATGGAAGCAATGCTAGGAATCTCTTGGTATAGCTATCCTATCTCAAACTAGCAAAAAAGCTGTCTTTCTTATTATTGCTTATGTCTTCTCTTCAACAAAATTGGAGAAGAGGGCAGAACAGGCTCTGCCTGGAAGCAAAGAGAATCAGGGGGAGAGAAGGAGAAAGGGGTTGGGGGGGAGAGATGACCCAAACAATGTATGCAAATATGAATAAGTGAACAAATAAACCAAAAAAAAGAGTTCATAATGTTTTCTTTTGTTATGCTTTGTTTCATTTTGGGGAAATAACATGGAGTCAAAGCTAAAAATCTCAAAGAAAGGATAACTCAGGCCAAGGAGATAACTGCAGTAGTGATAATAAATAACATGTTTTTTCTAGTTTTCTTTAAATTTTGGTTTTATTTTTATTGTACTGGGTAGGGGTGCATTGTGGCATTTGCAAAAGTTCTTACAATATATCAAACACATCATACTTGAATTCAGCCCCTCCCTCAACCATTCTCTTTCTCTTCCCCTCTCCCCCCCCGAAATAGTTTCAACAGGTCTCATTTTTCTATTTACATACATGTGTACACAGGATTTCACTATATTCACTCTCCCACACCTTTTCCCTCCCACCACCCTCTTCCCACCTGTACCAACCCCCAGACAGGACCTGTTCTGCCTTCCCTTTCTCCGATTTCATTAAAGAAAGAAAAATGTTTACTATAACTACACAGGGAGTTTCCTTGTGAGAAGGACACATGATCTGCTCTGGAGGGAGCCACATAGTCCAGGGTGGCTGGTGGGTGGATTTCAACCCTCCCCTCCTCAGACAAAACTAGTGGCCATAAAGGGAAGTAAAATTTCACCTCTGTCTAGTGGGGATGGGGCTGAACACTGAGCTAATCCAGCCTGTGTGGGAGCGGGGCAGCCCAGCAAAAGTCTGGTGAATAACATGTTTTGATTCTGTGAGATTTAAAGGTGGGCAGTTTTAGATGAAATGAGTACAGTTTGTCAGGAAGCACTATGTGGAGCATAAAGATCTGTGTTACTTTAGACTCAGAAAATTACAAGAACCAAGTTTATGGGATTTTCAAAGGAACTTTTCTGATATGGCAAAAAGTAAGCTAGATGCCACTCCACAAATAAGATTGGAATGGTGGATCATACCTATTATCCCTGCTATGCAGAAGCACAACTAATAAGATCACAGTCCAAGGTCAACACTTATCTGAAAAATAACTAAAGCAATGAGGGTTGGAGGTATAGTTCAAGTGGTAAAACTCCTGCCAATCTGGCAACCCAATACCACCAAAAAAAAAAAAAAAGTAAGAGTCTCCTGAAATATGATAGAGCTTAGTTTTTGCATTTTTACCAAGTCCTCCAGGTGACTTTGATACCCACTATAAGCCAGAAAGAAAAGTTGGAAAACGATTGACTAGGAGATTCATTTTTTTTCTCTTCTTTTATAAGGTTGTCAGGGATTTTTCAGTTGAGTTTGTCATCCTGAGGTATGAGGTGCAGAACCAACCACCCTGCCCAGGCCCCTGAATGCTGAGCCTCACTTTTTTTTCTTTTAAATTACAAGTAAGACATGTGTCAGCCCAAGGCTGCTCAAGAGCCCCTCAGCCAGTAAGTGCTGTGATCCATGGGTGAGTGCCACTCACAACCCTGGTTTTGGGGGTTTTGCTTTGTTTTGTTTTTGCCTTTACTTTCACACAGTCTTCTTTCCAGGTCTTTCGCCTAGTTACCTTTAACCTAGGGTGGCTGGAGGAAACTCACTTTGTCTTCGTGCCTTGGCACCCTTTTCTCTCAAGAGTTAAGGTGGCCAGTTCCCTTCCTTGTGATCGAAGTGGTAGCCTGGTTGATTCATTTTCCCAGAGGATTCTTTGAAAAGTGTAATCATCCAGGGAAAGAGTTCTGCAAAACCCTATTTTGAAAAAAAACCCATCATAAAAAAGGGCTGGTGCTGTAGCTCAAGGTGTAGGCCCTTAGTTCAAACCCCAGGACCATAAAAAAAAGTAAATAAAAATAAAAATTAGATATCAATCTACAAAGATCTATCATTTCATGCAAATGTGTCTTCTTCAACTTTTATTTTGCCTCTCTTGACATTGACCTGCTTATCTTCACTCACTATTTCCTATAACCCACCCTATATTTCTAGGATTTTATATAAATTTAAGTCAACATTATGGAGAATCCAGATTCAAAAAAGTAGGAAGCACTCCACAATCAATACCATTACCTGTTTTCTTTCCCAAACCCTCCCTTTTATGTCACAAGTTTCCTTTCGGGAATAAGAGAAGACTGATTTTGTCCCGAATCTGCTTGGTCTTCGCACCATAGATGATTGGATTGATTGCAGGAGGGATGGCCACATAGAGGTTGGCAAACAGTATATGAAAAGAGTGAGGAATATTATGACCAAAGCGGTGGACAAGGACAGAGAATATGGCTGGAGTATAGAACATTAGAATGACACCAACATGGGAAGCACATGTGCTAAGGGCTTTCTGGCGGGCTTCATTGGATGGAAGGTTAAAGACTGCACGCAGGATGAGAGTGTAAGAAATCCCAATGAGGATCAGATCTGATGTGACAGTCATGATAGGTACAGCAAGGCCATACCAGATATTAATGGAGATGTCAGCACAGGCAAGCCTGGCAACACCTATGTGTTCACAGTACGTGTGGGGAATGATGAGTGTTTGGCAGAAAGGCAGTCGCTTTAATAGAAACACACAAGGGAAGATGATACAAAAGCTCCTACTGATGATACCCATCACAATCTTAGTAATAGTCTGATGGGTGAGAATGGTGGTATATCTTAGGGGGAAGCAAATAGCAACATAGCGATCAAATGCCATGGCCATCAAGATAGCAGAATCCATGGCAAAGCTGTAGTGGAGAAAAAACATCTGAATAAGACATCCAGGAAACGAGATTTCCTGAGGACCCAAGCAGAAGATACTGAATGTTTTCGGTACACATGTATTAGATAGGATGAGATCTGTAGCAGCCAGCATGGAGAGGAAAAAGAACATGGGCTCATGGAGGCTGTGCTCCTTGAAAATAAGGTAAAGAAGGACACCATTTCCTGCAAGGGCTACAAGGTAGCTAATAAAGAAGGGAATCCCGATCCAGATGTGGAACTGCTCCAGCCCTGGAATTCCCAGTAGAATGAAGAAGCCTGCATTGAGGCTGCTCAAGTTGAATGCGACCATCATGGACATGGATTGGATGAGTCACATTGACTGAAAATAAAAATTTTGTGACTGATTGTTACAATGTTGTACAGACTTCTCCCATGTCATCCCTCACTTTAGTTCTAGGAAATGATCAATTGTCCTTGTTCTCTTTACTAATAAATATCTGAGAAATGTTCAGTTCATTTAAAATTATGGTATTTAAGATATTTTCTTGAGACATAAGCTATATAACTGAAATCAGTCCTACCTATGTATCAGCAACACAGGAAATTTCTAAGAAAATGTATGCATAAAATAATATCAGGCAAAGATGGAGCTTGGCTATGCAGATCAATGGGAAAGAACTTACCTGTCATGCCAGAATGCCTGGATTCAATCCCCAGTACTAACATCAAAAAAAAAAGATAAAATGTTAGGTAGATATCCACTAGTGAGAGATTTGGAGTGAAATTCAATGTGAAATTCCAGCCCTGGAGAACTGGAATAACTACTCTATAGGGAACAAGGGACTTAATAAAGGCAAGATAAATGTCTAAAACCTAAGGAACCATGCAGTATCTCTTCTTCCTTGCCTCTCCCTCCACAATGAAACATCTGCCCTGATTCTCCTTAATGCTATGGAAGAGTTCATCAACATAAAGAGAAGGCAAAGAGTATTCCTCCCTTAAGGGTTCAGTTTTTTCCTAGGGTACAGTATGTAATGTGTTCTTGTCCCTGTCAGATTTATTTAATGACTCATTCTTGTAAGACTTCATTGAAACACTTGAGTTTTTCTTCCAAAACTCTTCTGTTTTGTGACATAATATGCAACTCTTTTTGTCTAGCTTCAGTGACACTTATTTTTCTTTTTATCTCTCCCTGGAGTATTGGAATGCTGCAGTTCTATCCTCACATACTGCTTTCTTGGTGGACAACCTCCACCTGGATTATTTCCACAAACATTGTGATTGTAACGGTGACTCTTATGTTCAACATTCTGACATTTATGATTTTAAAGACTGTTGTCTCTTCTTCATTTTGGAATTGGTTATCCTTAAGCCTGCGATCTTCACTTAGAAATGCCACAGTTTCATCCAACTCAACATATTCCAACTTTCCCATTTGTTTTATATTACCTCAATCGTATTCCTTTTACAATATTTCCAGCTCAGCAAATGATAGGTCAACATAATCAGTTTCTCCATCTAGAAACCTTAATTCTTCCTTAATAATATCTCCCTCATACACAAACCTTTTCCACATCCACTAAACAATTTTCCTATACAAGTATTCACTCTCTAAGTATCTGCTACATTCTCTTTACTACCCCCAAACTGATTATCCTACATAACATCAACTCTCACCAAGACCTCTGCACGGATGTCCTTACTAAAAAGTATCTATTTTCCTTTAGTAATTAAAAGTCTAGAAAAAAGTCAGAAATGAATTTTCGAAAAAACAGTATTTTTTTAATTATCTCCTGTAGTTTACCTGTTGTTAAGGTTGACCCTGGAAATAGATTACTATTCCTAGAAAAAGGAAATGTGATTTAATTGTTTTCCATCTAGATAGAAAGAAAAAGTGGAAAGCCTATCACTTGCTGATAGGAAGAAGCAGCAAGGCTAAAAGAGAGCAGTGTTTTTCATCTGTTCCCAATTCAAGGTAAGGTCCATTTCATTTCCAATTGTTACAGCAAAAGGCCAACACAAAGAGAAGATTCAATAGGAGTTCAGAACACACTATCCAAGTTTTCCTGTTCAGTATCACGCTGAACAGGAAATCTACAGAATCTACGCTTCACACATTCCTCTTGTTTCTCTCCTTAGAGAAAAAAGAACAAAGTAGATATTGGAAGATCCAGCTATGAGAGAAAAATATAACTCAAAAGTACATTAATTAAGGATTATTTCAAATAAAAATCTTTAACTATTAATATTTACTTTAAAAATTCCTATAGATCACTTTGCTCTAGAATAAAACTTTTCAATGGGTGTGAACAATTATGTCATATAAAAAGCTTAGAAAACTCTCAATATCTTAAATAATTAAATTTGACATAAATGAAATACTTCAAATCAGAAAAGACTTTAAAAGACAAATAAGGACCTACAGTATCTATTTTAGAAGGATTTGCTGCCAAAGAATCTTAGAGATTTATTTAACAACATGGATCAAACATAAAACAAACATATCCACTGTCCTCGCAGCTCCAAATACAGAAATGTTATAAAGATACAGGAATGAAAATAAAAGAGACATAAGGATAGCCACTGCTGCAACATATACAATATGATATTTTAATGTGTAAAATGAAATTTGACAATCTGTCACCCATTCAAATCTTAAAAGAAGAAAGATTTTTATCATTTACACAGTGTCTATATAGTGGCAGAGGATGCATACTTTGAAAAGAATGAAGTATGCTACATGTATGAGAGTCAAATGCCAAAATATATTTGTTAAGTAAGAAAAGGAAAATTATGGGGTGGGGGAGTGGTTCAAGTGGTAGAGCACTTCACCTAGCCAGCACATTGACCTGAGTTAAAAACCTAGTATTGCCAAAAAAAGAGGAAGAAAACCAGAAAATTATAGCATGATGCTAGTATTATTAGTTTACATTTGGTATTTGCATTTTAAAAGGTACACAATATCAACTATTACAAGTGATATTTATGGAAAGAATGCTTGTAGGGTACAGAAGAAAGGAAATTTAAACTTTCCTCTTAACTTGTGTATAGACACATAATTTAACTTCTGACTTCATATACATTCAATTACTTTGTTTAAAGAACTTAGATTTTGTTAAATTTATATGGAAACACAAGAGGCCATGAATAGCCAAGGCAATACTCAGTCAAAAGAACAATGCTGGAGGTATTACAATACCTGACTTCAAACTATATTACAAAGCAATAACGATAAAAACAGCATGGTACTGGCACAAAAACAGACATGAAGACCAGTGGAACAGAATAGAGGACCCAGATATGAAGCCACACAACTATAACCAACTTGTCTTTGACAAAGGAGCTAAAAATATACGATGGAGAAAAAGCAGCCTCTTCAACAAAAACTGCTGGGAAAACTGGTTAGCAGTCTGCAAAAAACTGAAACTAGATCGATGTATATTACCCTATACCAACATTAACTCAAAATGGATCAAGGATCTTAATATCAGATAACAAACTCTAAAGTTGATACAGGAAAGAGTAGGAAATACTCTGGAGTTAGTAGGTATAGGTAAGAACTTTCTCAATGAAACCCCAGCAGCACAACAACTAAGAGATAGCATAGATAAGTGGGACTTCATAAAACTAAAAAGCTTCTGCTCATCAAGAGAAATGGTCTCTAAACTGAAGAGAACACCCACAGAGTGGGAGAAAATACTTGCCAGCTACACATCAGACAAAGGACTGATAACCAGACTATATAGGGAACTTACAAAACTAAATTCTCCCAAAACTAATGAACCAATAAAGAAATGGGCAAGTGAACTAAACAGAACTTTCTCAAAAGAAGAAATTCAAAATGGCCAAAAAACACATGAAAAAATGCTCACCATCTCTAGCAATAAAGGAAATGCAAATTAAAACCACATTAAGATTCCACCTCCTCCTTGTTAGAATAGCCATCATTAGCAACACCACCGCCAACAGGTGTTGGTGAGGATGCGGGGAAAAAGGAATCCTCTTATACTGCTGGTGGGAATGTAAACTAGTACAACCACTGTGGAAAACATTTTGGAGGCTACTTAAAAAGCTAAACATTGATCTACCATATGATCCAGCAATACCACTCTTGGGGATATACCCAACAGACTGTGACACAGGTTACTCCAGAGGCACCTGCATACCCATGTTTATTGCGGCACTGTTCACAATAGCCAAGTTATGGAAACAGCCAAGATGCCCCACCACTGACGAATGGATTACAAAAATGTGGTATCTATACACAATGGAATTTTATGCAGCCATAAAGAAGAATGAAATGTTATCATTCACTGGTAAATGGATGGAATTGGAGAACATCATTCTGAGTGAGGTTAGCCTGGCCCCAAAGACCAAAAATCGTATGTTCTCCTCTATATGCGGACATTAGAACAGGGACAAACACAATAAGGGGATTGAACTTTGATCATAAGATAAAAGCAAGTGCACAAGGGAGATATAAGGATAGGTAAGACACCTAAAAAATCAGGTAGCATTTGTTGCCCTCAACACAGAGAAACTAAAGCAAATACCTTAAAAGCAACTGAGGCCAATAGGAGAAGGGGACCAGGAACTAGAGAAAAGGTTAGATCAAAAAGAATTAACCTAGAAGGTAACACACATGCACAGGAAATCAATATGAGTCAACTCCCTGTATAGCTATCCTTATCTCAACTAGCAAAAACCCTTGTTCCTTCGTATTATTGCTTATACTCTCTCTTCAATAAAATTTGAGATAAGAGCAAAATAGTTGATGCCAGGTATCGAGGGGGTTGGGGGGAGAGGGAAGGGGGTGGTGTGGGTGGTAAGGGAAGGGATGGAGGAATGGGGGAGAAATGACCCAAGCATTGTATGCACATATGAATAATAAAAAAAAAAAGAACTTAGGTTTTGCTAAAATATTGAAGATAATTATTGAAATATTATTCATGTGTCATACAACATTGATCAAAGTTCACCTAGAAGCTGAGTATGGTGGTTTATACCTGTGACACCACTCACAGGAGGTTGAGACAGTGGAATCAAGAATTTGAGACCGGTGAGTCAATGCCCTGTATAGCTATCCTTATCTCAACCAGCAAAAACCCTTGTTCCTTCCTATTATTGCTTATACTCTCTCTACAACAAAATTAGAAATAAGGGCAAAATAGTTTCTGCTGGGTATTGGGGGGTGGAGAGGAGGGGGTGGGGGCAGGGGGAAGAAATGACCCAAGCCTTGTATGCACATATGAATAATAAAATTTAAAAAAAATTCAAATCATCAAAAGATTAATAAAATATGCCTCATTGCCATAAAAAAAAAAAAAAAGAATTTGAGGCCATCCTGAACTACACAGA